GCGGCCCCCGCCCCCCGCCCGCAATAAACCCTAAATCCTGATGATCGCTACACAAAAGGTAACAGAAAAGCCCCGAACTTCGCCCGCTGATGATGATCGCCGCGAGCTTTGACGTTGACGCAGGTCGATGTGTCGCACCGCGCCGGCCGGGAAAGCTGATCTATCTCGGGATCAAGCTCGGGATCAAGAGACTGGCAAAGCAAGGGCGACCTAATGCCCGCCCCCGCCCCTTACGCCCCACCCGCCGCTTAGCTTTGTGTTTCAGTTTATATCTCCCTGTTTGTTAGGGGGAGGGGGGCTGCTGTCACGAGAGCGCAGGTGCGTGGGGGGCACGCTAGGACATCATCCATCATTAAATGCGGGAGGCAGGAGGCAGGCGGGCGGGACGCGCCAAAGGCAACGTTGTTGTACGCCCACTCGCCTATCAGTCGCCCCTTCCCCACCCCCACCCGCCATACCTCCGCAGTGTGTCACTAGCTCACCGCGCGCCGCGCGCCCCGCGCCCCTCGCCCTGCTCTACCCCACAGCAGGGGGTCTATGTCCCGGTCGGTCACCGCAAAGGCTCTCAGAGTCCCTCGTCGAGGCCTCCTCGCACCTCCCCGTCGCTACACTAGGAGTATTTTTAGCCGTCCTAATCTGGTCCCTGGAGGATCTTGCTCGTGGGCGTGCACCCGTGCACCTTTACCTTTGCAAAGGCCCCCGCGTCTCCGGCTCCGGCCCGTTCTGACTCCACCCTGACTTCCTTCCTCTGTTTCCTGTCCGTGTTGCAGACCGGCGCACCCGCTGACAGCATGCCATGGAGCGCTACGAGTCCTTGGGCGTGGTGGGCGAGGGCTCGTACGGCCTGGTGCTGCGGTGCCGCCACCGGGAGAGCGGCCAGCTCGTGGCCGTCAAGAAGTTCATCGAGACCGAGGAGGACCTCACGGTGCGCAAGATGGCGCTCCGGGAGATCCGCATGCTCAAGGTGCGCTCAGCTGCCAATTAAAGAGAATTTACGGAGAAAAGTTTAGAATTTCAATCTTGACCATGTAAAGCAATGGGCTGCAATTACTAATTTCCTTTTCTGTTTTCAGAAACTTCGGCACGAGAACCTGGTGAGCCTGTTGGAGGTGTTTCGGCGCAAGCGGCGCTTCTACCTCGTGTTCGAGCTTATGGACCACACGGTCCTGGACGAGCTCGAGGAACGGCCCGGTGGTCTCGGAAACCACACAACACGACAACACATCTTCCAGGTGCTGCGCGCCGTAGAGTTCTGTCACGCCAACAATGTAAGTGTGTTGTTCGTCACTAACAGAAAATAAAAGTGTTCTATGGTTGGTGATCAAGTCAACATATTCGTCGGTTCGGCGAAGCTACTATGGTCAAATCTTTACATCTTTACCCTCGCATCCATATCACAAGTAATTCTGAGGTACTGTCTCGTTAACGTAGATCGTGCACCGGGACGTCAAGCCTGAGAATGTGCTCGTGTCGCGCCTCGGCGTGGTCAAGCTGTGCGACTTCGGCTTCGCCAGGCTGCTGGCTTCGCCGGGCAAGACGTACACCGACTATGTGGCTACGCGGTGGTACCGCGCGCCTGAGCTCCTCGTCGGGGACAACAAGTACGGCAAGTGAGTACGCAACGCAGGACGGGGTGATCTTTGATGTTTTCATGTTTTTGCGGTGCCTTCACCATCCACCCCTCCACCCATCCCCCAGGGCCGTGGACGTGTGGGCGGTGGGTTGCCTGTTCTCCGAGATGCTGAGCGGCGACCCGCTGTTCCCCGGCCAGTCGGACATCGACCAGCTCTTCCAGATCATCAAGGTCCTCGGCAAGCTGTCCCCGCGACACCAGCAGCTGGCCGCCCGCAACCCCATGCTGCGCGGCCTCAAGCGCGGCGCCCTGTCCGGGGCCCCGGGGCCGCCGCCGCCCTCCTCGACGCCGGTGACGGTGCCCGTGGCCGTGCCGCCGCCAGCGTGCGGGCCGGCAGGGGACGAGGGCGCCCGGTCATTGGCCACGCTCTTCCCGTCCTGGCCGCGCCTCGCACTCGACGCCGTGGCGCTCTGCTTGCGCCTTGACCCGGTGCACCGGCCGCCCGCCGAGCAGCTGCTCCGCCACCCCTACTTCACCCATGACCGCTTCCCGGACAGGTTCGTCCCCGAGCTGCGCGCCAAGGTGCAGCAGGAGTACTCGAGCAACCCACTACTGCGCAGGCTCCACGGCTCGGGCACCAGCCTGACCAGCGCCAGGAGCACGGGCCATGACGGCCACCACGCCGCCGAGGACCCAGGCAAAGGTGGGTGAACCATCAAAATCTGGCAGAGGACCCCACCCTGCCTGCAGCAACGCCTATGACGATGTGCGAAAACGACAGGTGCCCTCACCACGACACAGCTGCGCCGCGCGCCCAGCCTGCAGCACCATCCGCAGCACCAACACCATCACGCCCAGCAGGAGCAGGAACACCCGGCAGCAGTCCCGGACGCCGCCCCGAGCCGGTGGCGACGCAGCGAACAGGCGTCCACGCCTGTTGACGTGCCCATGGAGGACCTGGCGCCAGTGCCACGGATCCGAGCGGAGCCCGCCGCGACGGCCGAGGATGCCCTGTCACTGCTGGAGCAGCACGTCCCCGAATTGGAGGAGTCTGAGCAGTCCCACCACGCAGGTAGGTCGATCCCGGTCGAGCTCACCCCACCTAGACCACCTAGACCACCTAGACCAACACGGTCTGGAGCAGGAGCCCATAGCACTCACCCGCTCTGCTCATGGCCCTGGCAGAGACACTGGAGCCACCACTGCGAGTCAGGTCTCCGGACCAGACCGAGCTGTCGCAGCCGCAGCCCTTCCAGACGCCCAGTCCGCGCCGGCAGCACAACCTGCTCTCGCAGGACGCCTACCAGCCCAGGCCCGACCAGGGTCCCCACCAGCAACCCATGCATCAGGACGCGGAGCAGCAGACGCTCGAGCCAGTGGCCAATGCGCCCTGGCTACAGCTGCAGGTGTCGGGCGAACCGCAGCTGCTATCCATCAACAACCTCAGCTTCAACCCCTCCAGCCAGATGCACATGAACGCGCTCAGGTGTGTCTCGTCGCTCCTTTAGTCGCGGGGACCCGCAGCACATCCTAGATGCCATTCAGAACCCTTGCCGTGTCGTTATTCAGGTCAGAGGCCCTGAAGCGCTCTCCCCTCCCGGGCGGCCCCATGGTGCCCACGGCGGTGCCCCCCGCCAGGCTACCGGGGCGCCACGGTGGCCCCGCGGCGGGGGCGGCAGCAGGGGTGGGCCAGACCCACCACGGCCCCGGCCACGGCCACGGCGCCCCCTCCAACGCCCCCCTCGGCCCGGTGGTGGGCGCGCCGCGGCAGCTCCTCATGGCACGCCGTCTGGACCGACTGGAGCGGGCCTCCATCCTGGAGCCGGACCACGGGGTCCACGCCGTGCACGGCGGTGGCCGCTGGAAGCCCCCCGCGCTGACCGGCGGCCGACCGGAGGACGACTTCTGCCTCCCCAACGTGCCCGGAGGTATGTATATATCCGGTGGGCTGGTTACCCCCTCCTACTCTCTTTACTCTCTCACTTCAACCAATCATTGTCACTGGCCTTCAACTTGGGAAATGAAACATGATGGAACTTCATGAGAAATCGTTGCCCGAGCTCCTCCTGAACTCTCTGTGGGGCTATCAGCTGCAGCTGCCCGGCGGGTTGGCCCACCCTGTGCGTTGTGGGCGTTACCACTGACAAGTGCACCCACAATGAACGTTCCAGGCCGATGACGCAAGGAAACGTGAAACATTGAGTGCCAAACGCTCCCGTGCCCCTGCTGTCGCTACACTTGGGCGCTATGGGCGGGCCGCCGTCTCCACACAGCAGCTTGGCGGGCTGGCCTACCCAGCGGGTTGCAGGCGCTATCACTGGCGTGAGCTGCGTCAGCTAGGGAAACATTGATTGTGGGGACACGGCAAAGCCACCAGAACTTAGGGATGGCGAGGAGGGCGGATATAGTGGCTTTTAAATGTGAAGGCGGGATAAACGGAAATATTTCAACCAATATTGTTTCAGCGTCAGGCAGTCCGAGTAAGGGCAGAAGGAAGCCCAACGCGGCACCGAGCCTCGCCGGACAGCACGGAGGAAATGGCGTTGGGTTGAGAGCGACTCTCCGGGAAGATCACTCGCTGTCGCCGGTGAGTTGACTTCATACTAGATACGGTGGGCATTCCCTCCGCCCCCCAGTCTGGAGCAGGACAGTTGAGTTGAGCTGAGTGCTTTAAGGATGAGCAAACAGGGTTTATATTGCTTACTTCTCTGTTTTTGGTAGAAGCATGATACGTTTGCATGTCCTACCCATTCCTGCCTGCTCTTTCTCCAATCTCTAATATGTCAGACAAAATGGGGAAATTCAATAACCCCAACCCATCAATAATAAAAGACCATTAAGACCAATGAAAAACCACTTCGGCCTTTTGGTGTTATGCCTATTGCAGGGGCTCCTGCAATTGCATCCAACCAAGATCAGATACTGGGGAAATACACCGGCGAAGCAGATGAAATGACCAGCTGTGCTGTAATGCAGTACCGAGTACCTGATGATTTTGCAGGCATGTAGTTAGCTGGCACCCGGTACCCAGTACCGTAGTCGCTGTACATTCCTTTCTTCCCTCTCGTTTTGGCGACCTGTTAATTTTTCTGTGCATCCTATAAGATGTGCAAAATTACTGAAAGGTCATCAAAGAGTTGTGGTACCTGCTTTCCAAAAACATCTTTTTAAACAGATAATTGCACATAGGTGACGTGTATCGTCTATAACGTAGAAAATTAGAGTTCTTGATGTGAGTTAGAAAAACTGTGATATTTTTCACCATCCCCACACAAAACAATATTGAACTGAGGTATAGATAAAAACCACAACTTCATGTTGAGCCATGAGAGAAGGGGTCCTTCTCCCATGGTTGAGCATTGCGATTAAGTATTTGACTATGACACTGTCTCCTCTCTGTTTCAGAGAGGTTCCCATTCCCGGTCGCCATCAGTAACATCGAAGGCAGCAGCAAATAATCTTCCTTTTGTCTAGAAATGCCCATGTATTCAGATGGGAGATGAAGGAATGGAAATCCTATCTTGCTGATGGTGGGGACAGCATTTTTCGTGATTTGTAAAAATTAGTTTGTCCTATCATTTTTACAAAGTGTGTAAGTTGCTAGTTTGAATAGCAACATAGTCATGCTCAATTCCTAATTCAAAAAAGGTATAAAGGAATGACACAAATTTTCTCTTAAAATAATAAATATATTTATTTTCATAGAAAATGAACTGAAATTGTCCATAGTATGGACTGTAGCTTTTATATTGTCAATAATACTTTTTTCAATAAATTTACCACACCTGTTGGCATACTGAATAAGATGATACGAATCTTTTTTAAACATGCATGCGTCAAAGCAAGAAAAACATTTCATATAATTAATTTTGAATGAAAGAACCACAATATGCAGCTGCTAGAATGAAACAACAAAATATCATGTTAGCTGTACACAGCATGCTTCCACATGTCTTACTGCGACTAACATATGAGCTAACACAACTATCTTGCAGCTCAAAGAGACGAAAAATTTTAGCATAATAACTAAACACGGGCCAGATACAAATTATAGTTTTCTGTGATCAGCTTATTCAATCAGTCAATTGGGTACGACATCAGATGCAGCAGAGTATTTCCTCCAAGAATATAAATGAGTGCAAAATAATGTTACATGCACAAACAGTAGTTCTGCAAAAAATTAAAACATCCTAAATATCCCCAAAAGTTGTGAACTCTCAGAAGTTAATTTGATGGAGGACAAATATCAGACCTTTTATTAAATCCTCACAACCACTGAGTAAAACAGAAGTAATTAATTGAGGATCTTAAACACAGACATGGCGAACTTCTTCATTCATACCCAAATATCACATGACTTAAAACTATGTACAAAGATACAATACGTACTAAACCAAAAGTGTACGGTCAAAAGTTGTTCCATGTGGTTACAGCCAAAGCCAATTGAATTAGGCCACTCTTAAAATAGATGAAGATTAATGACAACATATTGATGGCAAGCTTTTTAAACTGATACATTTACATCTAAGGGAAGTAGAAGTGAATTGCTTGAGTGAGAAATAAATGTCACAGGCAATCAAAAATAACATTTGCTTTTCAGTGTAGCTTATGGTAACTTGTCCTAGTCTGTCACATTATCTCACAATCGAGCAAAAACTTTAAGGTCTGGACTAACCTTTATGCCTTTTGTAAAGTTCTTAAAAACTAGTCACAGTTACAAAAAGGGAACAAGAAAAAATACAGAGGGCCAGGATCAGCCATTAATCAAACTATGACGACTACAGGGTATGTCAAATCACAACAGTCTAGCCACGCAGAAAGATCAGGAGTCTTTATCACGGGTCCAAACACCTACTGCGGGAAACTTACATGGCGCACTTGTATCAGTCAGTCCGGCCGGTCCCGGTCCGGATCAAAGTTCGTCTATCCGGGGCCTGGCCCCGAGGATAAAGGCGGCTATTCCGGACCGTTCCGGCCGAGTCTGGCGCCTCCGGCGTACACCGGTCTGTGGGTGGTGACGGGGAGGGGCGGCAGGGGCCTGGCAGGCAGGGGAGGGTGGGCTAGAGGGAAGTGGTGCGGTGCCGCGGGGGCGGGCGCCGGTGGCGGAGGCGTCGCGGGTCGTCGGCAGGCTTCGATCAGACGCTCTCCCCCGGCCAACGTGATGGGCTGCTCGCGGTGGTAGCGCACCAGGTCCTCTGCAAGGCAAACAGTAATGTCATTGTCAGCGCTCGAGAGGGATATGTCACATGGTGGTTCGGTAGTGCAAACAGTATCGATGCGCCGCACGCCCTTCTAATCCTACTGATTTAGAGAAAATTTGATCGTGAACCGACGTCAAACAACGATCCTCGCATGGGTCGTCACAACCGACTCACCGAGTGTCTTGTGGCAGATCTGGTTGGCACCCAGGAACTGGTAGCCGCCGCCGAGGCCCGAGGTGTCCACCAGGTAGTGCTTGCAGCGGCGCCCGGGCCCAGCGGCGTCCGAGTCCCTGTAGCTGATGGCGTAGCCCCACACGCGCTCCGACAGCCGCACCAGGAAGGCGCCGGGGCCCCTCGAGCTGAGGCGCATCTCCGCCTCCTGCCGGCTGATGAGGCCGTGGAACCAGGGCTGCGGGGCGCCGCTCGCGTCCAGCCCCGCGCGCCGGGGCTCCTCCTGGGTGCGGTACCACTGGACCACCGCCTCGCGGTTCTGCGGAGGCGGCGGCGGCGGCGGCCTGCGGGAGAGGAGGGCACGTATGGGTCACTCCCGGTGCGCCGGGCGGGTAGCCCACCCATCCTGCTCGGGCCACTACTCACACAGAGGGCGGCGAGGAGGCGGTCGGGCTGGCCGCGGGCGAGCTGGGGTCGTCCAGGACGGACGTCCGCCGGTGCTCCTCGCGCGCGCGCCTCGCGATCTCTCGTATCTGCTGCTCCGCCTCCTTGGCGCGGCGCTCCTGCTCCTGCCACAGCCGCTCCTGTACGGGGGCCATCTCCTCGGCCTCGCGCGCAGCCTCCTGCTGGCGCTGCTTCAGGTTGCTGAGGATCTCCTCGGTCCTCGTCTCCAGGACGCGCCGCTCCCACTGCGCGACCCGCTGCGCCACCTTGGGCTGGGGCTGCAACAGAAGCGCGCCGTCAACAACCTGCCCCGGGGCTCACCTCCTGGCCGAGGCCGGCGGGGGCGGGGCGGCGGCGGCGGTGGTGCCCACCTTGCTGTTGAGCGAGATCTGCTGCAGCACGTCGCGGCCGCCGAGTCGGTTCGGGAGGCCGTTTCTGTAACTGTTGATGGCGTTGTTGGCCAGGGTCGTCGTGGCGTCCTTCTTCTTGCTCCACTCGCGCAGCTCGTCCACGGAGCAGTAGATCATCTCGGCCGGGTCGTCCTCGGGCTTGGTCTGCGGCGGCGGCGGCGGCGCCTGCTGCGGTGGCGCCTGTGGCGGCGGCGGCAGGTGCAGCGGTATCGGCGGCACCGAGGCGGGCTGCGTGGCGGCCTCCATCTCCTCAATCTGCTTGTGGCTCAGGTCCAGCAGCTCCGTCAGCTCAGACAACCTGAAACAAAATACACAGCCTCATTAGAAGATGGAGTGTTACTGGCGGCGTCTAAAAAGCCGCACAGCAGCGGCAAAAGCAGTGAGCAATGGTGCGCCCTGCTGGCCCTCCTCGAAATGGTGTGAAGTGCGGGGTGAGGAGGGGCAGGAGGCCGCGGCCATGTGGTCCGCTCCATTTGAGGCGAGTCGTCCACTCTATTGTGGGGCGCGGCGAGGCGTGATGGATCGGGTGACATCATCGCGCTGCTGCTGGTCGCGAGCGCGCGCGCGCGGATAGAGGAGTCACAGGCGGCCGTGGCCAAACCAACCGCGCGCCGCGCGAGCCACGCCAGCGCCAGCGGCGCGGCGCACCGACGCTGTGGTCACGGCGCACCCGCGGCGCGGGGGACACCTGAGCGCGGCGCCGCCGGGCCGCGGGGGCCGGGCGCGCCGCACCGTTTCGCCTCGCGGACCACAAGCAGCGCGCTATAGCCGCGTTACAGCGCAGCTGAGCTGCAGCGGTGCAACGTAGTTCACCGGGCGGGCCCGTGTGCTGTGCGGCTGACGTAACGGCGAGGGAGGTGTCGGCCGCGCGACAATTAGCAGCAGGCTCGCGGGCCCGTCAGAGAGAGGGGGAGGGGGGGGGGAGCCACCCACGAGTGATTTGCGTATTTCTCATAGCAGCGCGCCAGCGCCAGCCTGCTGGTCCGCGGTGTCCAAAGGCGATGATGACTGCCATGGCCACCAGAAGGCCATCCGAATGAGAGACGCATGGCATCCGCCGTCGTCTCCGCCCGATCTCGTCCCGCGCAGCGCGTGTGGGGTATATCGACTAACTGTCTGTCATCCTCGCGCACACCCCTCGTGCGGGCGCACGGACGGACATTCCCCGGGTGGACAAATGGCCCCCCAAACGAGCCTCAAGAGCAGCTCCAATCGGTCCGGAAGATAAAACAACAATGAACGGCCTCGTGTCTCGGGAGCCCCGCCCCGCCCCGCACCCCGGGTCGCCACGCCCCGCACAGAACACAGCCCGTCCATTACGACACCAGATCAGCAGCCCCGCCCCGCACACCAGGCCGCCGCCGCCGTCGTCAAGCAGCCGCAGATTGGTGACCCAAAACCAAACCAAGGTCAACTCAACTCGTTGGATTACACTCTGCCGCTGCTCGCTACCGAACAAGCGCTGGCTGCTGCTGCTGCGTCGCATGGCAGCTTTAGGAGGTGGCACCCGACCCGATCTGATCCCCCTCAAGCTCATCAAGTCGGAAGTCCCAGCAGTGCAGCTCAGCGCGCCCGCGCCGCCGCCGCCGTGCGCACGCGACGCACCTGCCCCCCGCCCGCGTCCACTCCATTCCACTCACCTCCGCTGCTGCGCCTCCAGCTCGGCCTGCTTCCTCGCGTTCTCGCGCGCCTCCCGCTCCAGGATCTGCTCGATGGACTTGTCGTCGGGGTGCTCGCCCATGACCCACACCCAGGGCTCGCCGTCCTCGCCGTGCATGAACTTCACCGACTTCGCGCCTGGAAAAGAGCAGAAACAGAGAAGGTGTCAGGGAGAGGATGGTCTGTCGTCATCGTGTTCCGGTCCGTCGACCGGACCAGAGACGTTCTCCAGGG